CAATAAAATCCAAGAATGTGAAGGTTTCAAATTAGCAAACAAGTTTTCATCAAGACATCTCCAGTTTTTGAAGCAAAAAATGAATGTCCAACTAGCAGCCCAAACCCTTAGCTCATCTGTAGCAGATGCTATTGAATTTTTAGATAAATCAATGAAACTTAAAGAATTTCAAAACTCAATCGGCACTGTTAAATTTATCAGAATAGTGGATAGATTATATGACATTCTAAACTCTCGAAACCCAATTGCAAAAGGATTTAAACAACCACTGCGCCCTCAATCGAGAAATACATGGGAAGAAATCTGGAAGCATTCTAGTGTTTGCTCAGTTTAAGAACACATGACAGTACCAACCAATTGTTGGTCACACATCAAAGAGAAACATTCATTACTGGCTTTGTCACAACTATTAAATCGACAATTGATATGACAACAGCAATGTTCAGTGGTGGAAATGCTTTCAAATATCTGCTTACTTACAGGTTCTCACAGGATCACATTGAACTCTTATTTTCGTGTATAAGAGCACAGGGTGGCTGGAACAATAATCCGAACTGCCTACAACTGAAGTATGCAATGAGGAAAATGCTGTTGAGGAACACAATCACAGCCTCAAGAAATACCAACTGCCTGACAATTTCTGATTCCACAACAACAATTATCCCATTCTTTCACTCCCAGAAACACAAAGCACCTTTAAAAGAAACTCCAACAGATAACCTGGACGAACCTGAAAGCAGTCCTAAAGAAGACCTACTCTGCAGTCACTTAAATTCACCCGGTACATCCGAATTTCTGTCCAACATCCTGTTTTACATCAGTGGTTACATTGTTTTCAAACTGGTCAAAAAACTATCGTGTGAATCATGCAAGCGATGTCTACTTTCTCACTTCAACTCTGAAACTTCAGACCATGATTACTGTGCTATGAATTACAGTCAAATTGCACCTGCATCAGCATTCACATTATTTGTGAACAATGGTGGCCTAAAAATACCGTCACAGTCTGTTTACAACATTATTGAATTTGCTGAAAAATTATTTAAAGTAAATGTTTGCAAAGATGGCCACAAAATTTCAAGAGAAAACAAGTTAAAGCAGAAGCTGGTTCTGAGTGTGTGCAACCATTTTGTAATGGATTCAACCAACCAAATTTTCCAAGATCACGATCAGGGATCGCAAGACAATTCACTTGAAGAAAATCACCGGTCATCCCTTATCAAGTTAACGGCAGAAAGATACTTTACCTTGAGACTCTACACTTACGGCAAACGATACAACGACAAGGTGGTTAATGGACAGCCAAGCGTCAGGCACCAGCTAACGAAGTTGATCCTGTTTAAAAATCAATAAAGTTAAACGTGAATCGTTTTATTATCAGTTGTATAATTCATAAATATTTGTAATTTCAATTAAAGTATTACCTTTTTGTCCAAAACCTTGAATGTTGGATAACGATAAATATATTCCAAAATATATTTCAAAAGCACGTTATATTTTACTTCAGAATCTGTTCCGATCGTCTTCATTTTGCCATGAACACACAATCCACACAGCTTTTATTTATCTTGGCTTTCGGCTTTAGTTTTGCTTTACATTTGGCAAGGTAAGTAGGTTTTATGCAAGTAAAGTTTAACGAAAAAATACTTTGCAAAACCGCCATATTAAACAACCACGCCGTTGACAAATCGAATGTGTGCTCGCATCCTTCGTCGCGCAGTCGCGAAGCTTTATTTATATGCCTGATCGCAGGTTACTGGAAAACATAGATTTTTCACGTTTTACAGCGGCTAAGGGATGGATTAAAAGTTCAAAATCGACTTCATTATATGGGCTTCAGTACTAAACAAGTTTTAATCTCGCCGAAATATTCTAAAGTATTTTTTTCGCTGTTGAAAGGCGAAGTTTTCATGAGCACGTTCAAATATTTATCATTTTTAACAATACAAAAATGTTTACCCCTCAAAGTTTTGCTTCAACTAAGTGGAAGCAAGTTAGAACTATAAAAAAAAACAGGTTTGGATATTTTAACTTGAAGTCTTTTGATGAAAAAAGATTTTTCTTGCTAATTTTCGCTCAAAAAACGTTTTGACTGAATTTCGCACTCCTCGTAACTCACCCTAGTCTTTTTGAAAGTGCATTTTCGCCGCGCGGTTCCCGCTTTGAGCTTCAAATTGGCTTCAACCAATCATAGCACTTGAACATAGGAGTTATCGTTCCAGGTCTTTTGAGTTCACTGTTAGCGCACTTGACGTTCACCTCTAAGGTCGCAGGTTCAAGCCACAGTGAGAACTTTCTCAATGCGACTCGAATCCAGTCCTCATGTGAGAAGAGTAAAAGTCAACGCTCTGCCAACAGCTGGGCATTCTGTTGTCGCTGTCTAAATATTGCGGGCGCATTTCTTTAACAAACATTTTGATTCTTCGAACGCTGAAAATATGCATTGTGAGAGGATTTTTTGTCCTCTTTTACTGGTTTGTTCATGGAAAATAAAGTGTTTCTTGAAAGATTAAGTTGTAGTGCTTGTACGCAACGATATAACGACTTAATCGCATGAAAACGTGCGAAGAATTTTTATTTACAAATGGGTGACAAGTGGAAATGTTTCACTCATTGTCAGAGTTTCAGAAGCAGGGTACAGCAGTATGGAAACAAGGAAGTGTTCATATTTTGCTCTTGATAGAAGCTGAGTTGTTGTTGTTTCCACAGGTATGTTCAATAATTTGTTTGTCCTTCCTCATCTGGAATAATAAGTGTCTTAAAATACATATTTTGATGAAAATGACACATATTCCTCTTGCAATTTCGTAGAAACTGGCCGTTGCCTTCAGTTAGAAAATATATTTTATGAAAGTTAAATCATACTTTGTTTTATTAAAACCTGAGCTATTCATGGGAAAAATGTGCTAGATGTTGTAATTGACAAATCCACTTGTGAAGTGAAAATGTCATGTTGTCACATGCTTATGAAATTGCTCCTGTATTGGTTTGTTATAAAGTAAAAATTGCTGAAAAAATGCTTTTGAAAATGTTCAAGTATTGGTTGTTATGAGATAGGAAATGCCGCATTGATTTGTTCAGTTTTAAGAGTCTAACGGCAATCCTGAATATAGGCATGCTTGCTTTGTGAAATTCTGTGGTGATATGGCATATAAATAAAAATATCTTAAAATTTTTACCATTGCCTCTCTCCGAAATATGGCTTAAAACTATCCTTATTAGTCAACCTTCATGGAAAAGTTAGTTGGTATGCTGGGAAAAATGCGCGCGGCACTTTTTTTGGACACTGAAGATGGTAACATTTGATGTTGTCATATATTGCCATCCTCTTATCATAGCATAACTTAACTTATTTTAGTGAGTTTGTTAAAGCATTGTGCTCACTATATGCCTGTAGTATCTAAGACTTTTTCATAGCATTATATGACAAATTTAAGTTCTGTTTTCTTTTATTTTTAGGTGATAGTATCTGTTCACTTGAGTGTTGGTATCAAATTTTGGACAAGTTTCAATTATTATTTCACATTCCTTTATTCAAATATCCAAATAAATGGAATATGACATCAAACTGGATGACTAGATTCTGTTTCCAAGCTTGTTTTTGTAAAAATAGAAAATAACAACTTATTATGTGTTGTTCTAATAAAAACTATTGTTTTTGATATGCATATTTAATTTTTGAAATTACAGTCATTCTTTGCTAAAATGTGTACCAGGAATACTGAAATCTTTCAGATCAGCTACCAATTCCCTTTATAACTTATGTAGCCAAGTGTTCTATCAATTTCTGTTCAGATTAAACAAATGATGGGTAAAATATTAGTTTAGATTCTTTCAAAAAAAATGAGCTTGCCTATTTTGAAAGCATAAAAAGCAATAAAATAAAGTAAAAGTACCTATTTTTAATTTAAAACCTTTGGACTGCATAGCTTAATGTTTTCCACTAAATATTACTTATTATTCATTGAAATGTTGTATTATCAGCTTTAAAACCAGATAAATCCACGAAGCACTCCTATAAATATGTCGCCATATTGATTTTTTCGCGCATGCTCCGTACAAAATGCCCAGCTGTTTATTTTTACAAGTATGAAATAATTGTGATATATAGTTTGGAAGCAGTCCTTTTAGCGTTTTAAATGTTATGAAAAGATCTCGCTTTTTTAGGATTAATTCAATAGGTTTCCAACCAAGGTTATGCGTTTCATTTAGCACAGGTAATATATATATATATATATATATATATATATATATATATATATATATATATATATATATATATATATATATATATATATATATATATATATATTGTTGACCAACCGGAAAGGTCTTAATGGTAGTTATGATTTCGCCCAACAATAGTAATTTATTCATATTTACCGTATATAAGTATGTTCTGTAGTTAAGCTAGGCACTCTGATGAAGGCTGTGGCATGCAGCCGAAAATTTAGTTTTTGTATTTAATATATCTTTTAATAAACTTCTTCAAACGTAGCCGTTCTGTTTGTTACATATGAAGTCTTGTCGGCTGAGCAGAGTACTGGCATTTGTCCACCCCTCCAAAAAAAATTTTCAACCCCCCCAATATTCGGCATAATAAATAAATAATTAAATAGTCCACTCCAACGTGCAGAGTGTTGATGATACAAAATAAACGTAGGAGTACACTCGAACAGAAAAAGACAGTGCAACACTCTGAAACTAATCGCTCCTCGCTTGCATTCACTGGTTTATTGGAGCAATTGTGAAGTTTTGAAACTCTATTATCTTCCCTGAATAGAGTTTGCAGTGCCTTGTCATGCGAATAGCTTGCACGCAAGGAACGTTTGGAATTTTTACGAACACTATTTTTAGTTTTTAATTCTTTTAGGAAATAGACTTGCCTAGATTTAATCTTTACGCCCCAAATATTATTTACATCGGAGTTGCATCATAAATTGTACTCGGATTCAAACAACACAATGTCAATGACTTTATAAAAGTAAAAGCATATTGTATATTGGCCTATTGGGTTTACACTTTTACAGGTTTATTTAACTTTAAGTCTTTAACTCTCTCAAGTCTTAACAGACAATCGGACATGCCAAACCATTAATATGACAAATTGACAACTTCAAAAAACTTTTTTTCGAAGCTAGAAATCATGATTTTTTTCAAATTTTTCCTGGGATACTTTGTTTTCTGCTCTCTAGACTCCCCCTCGCGGCTCTAGTGCTCCACCCCTAGAATATAGACCTTACTGGGGTTTGGTGACACTTTGTGTTGCTTCAGTCACCTGCTCACGGCTCACCCCCCTAAAATTTCTGGCACCACCCCAGTAATAAATATCAAAATCCGTCTATCAATTACACATTTTTTCAGTGAAATTTTCTGGTCCGGGCAGTTACGGTAATTAAAAGTATAGGCACTCCGGGCATTTAAGTAGAACCGATCATAGACGAAATATTTCAGTTAGGTGTAGGTGAATCCTTCTTGGGTAACATTCAAGCGATTTCCTGTTGATGAATTTAATTCCACCACAAAG